AGAAAAGCAATTAGTTACCTACAAGGGAGCACCCATAGGACTGTCAGCTGATTTCTCAACAGAAACTTTGCAGGCCAGAAGGGAGTGGCAAGAAATATTCAAAGTGATGAAAAACATGGAACTACAACCAAGATTACCCAGCAGAGCTATCATTTAGAATTGAAGGTCAGATAAAGAGCTTCTCAGACAAGGAAAAGCTAAAGGAGTTCATCACCACCAGATGAGCACCATAGGAAATGTTGAAGGGTCTTCTTTAAGAAGAAGCTAATGAACAAAAGAATCTGATGAACTAAATAGATCCAGAGACACTGACACATGCAACAGATGATCATATTTCAGAGGAAAGAGGGAAGGAGTTTGGAGGGTGGGAAGAGATTAACTAAAGAAGTTATATGCATATAAGCATAACCCATGGATGCAGTCAATAATGGGGTGAAGGCCTGGAGAGGGGGTGGGAGCAACATGGAGGGGGTCAATTGGGTGGGGAAAATGGGATACCTGTAATACTTTCAACAATAAAGTTTAAAAAAAAATTTCCAAACAGGAAAAATAAATAAGTAAATAAATATGCAATACAGTATTATTAACTACAGTCACCAAACTGTACATTACATCTCCAGGAATTATTTATTTTATAACTAGAAGTTTATATTTTTTTACCATCTTCAGCCATTTCATGCACACACACCCCTTCCTCTGGCAACCACCAATCTGTTCTATGAACTTGGGTTTGTGTGTGTCTGTGTGTGTGTGTGGTTTAGTTTTAGTGTTAGGTTTCACGTATAAGTGAGATCATTTGATATTTGTCTTTCTCTGTCAGACTCATTTCACTTCGCTTAATGCCTTCAAGTTCCATCGATATTGCTGCAAATGGCAGGACTTCCTTCTTTTTAATGCCTGAATAATAGTCCACTGTATACATACCACGTTTTCTTTGTCCATTCATCTGTTTTAGGTTGTTTCCACGTTCTGACTATTGTAAATAATGCAGCAATGAACATGGGGGTGCAGTTCACATACATTTCCAATGCAGAGCAATTTAGTTTCATCTCAGCTTTTGAGACCTAAGAACCACAACCCCAAAGGCACAGGATGGCAGTGGAATTCTGTTATTAAGCAAAATATGTTTTCCATGTAGCTTATTAGAAAATTACAGCAGTCAGAGGAGAGAGAAGAGGAGGACTGGGTTAAAAAAAGGTGAAGGGATTAAGAAAAACAAAAAAGCACCTTAGACAGACAGCAGTATGGTGAATCCCGGAGGGAGAGGGAAGAGGGAAGAGAGTGTAAAGGAGGGATGATGGTGATGGAAGGAGACCTGCCTTGGGGTGGGGAACACACACTGCAACTACAGATGATGTGTTACAGAACTGTACCCCTGAAACCTATATAATTTATTAACCAATATCACCCCCAATTAATTCAATTTTTAAAATTTATACATGTTTGTACATAAAAGTTATGATAAATAAGAAGGTTTTTAAAACCATCATTGATCAGGCTGAGAATAGTTATTATTTAGTCTCATTCCCCCACTTTTTTTTTTCTCATAGCTTAGAGTTACTCATTTATTCTTTAATAAATATTTATGGGCATTCTCCTACTCTGGATATCATGCTTTATCTTGTGCATTCCAAATGCCTAAGGCTCCCTCATACCAGCCTACTTCTCTCAATTAAATCAAAACCCTCCTTAAATGCTCCTGCACACTAAAAGTAAGTTGCTAGAGCCAAGACGCAGCAACTCCTCTGAGGAGAAACATGTAGAAGATTTATGAATTAGCAAAACAAAGAACAGCAGAAGGAAATTCATCTCGTCTCTCCAGGGAATGATTATCTGTACCTCCTACCTCACGTGGATAGTATATCAGACTTAAGTGTTGCTGCTTAGTGGCTTGAACAACAGTAATCTCTTCTGCTCAAGAGTCTACAGTTTGGGCAGGACACCCTGTCTCTGCTCATGCCATGTAAACTGGGGTGGCGCGACTCGAGCAGGAGGATGCCTTTCAAGATGATTCACTCACA